GGAGGTTTAAGTTTGTTTGAATAACAGTAGCTAAAAACAGCAGTCCAGAAGGTGAACTTCACGCTGTTTGAAACTCGTCACTTGATAATCATACCTATTATGGAGCATTCAGCTAGCTGATTATGGCTTCGAATCCTATTCCATTGAGTGAGGTTTCGGCAGTCACGCGATACGTGCGCTGATTACGCGTCGCATGGAATAGCTAGAGGTTGTTGTGTTTTATGCCGGACCTAGTAAGACAAGGACTCTGTAACTTAATGGATAACGCATTGAGGCATCCAACGATGAGTGAGGATACATTCAACTGACCAATCCCGAAATAAGATTGAAACACACCTTCTGGATTCCACTGCTAGCTATTGTCAACTGAGTAACACCTATTTCTGTCTATAGAGTTCTTAAACCGTAAATATAAACAAATAAGCCAGCTTGCTATTTCTCCTTTCATTTCACACATCAAAAGATGAAACCATGATCAATAATGTAGCTACATGAGGACTAAAATATACAACCTGGTTAATATCCCTAATTAATCTGTCTATCGCCTTCATTATTCACCACTTTCACAACACAAATACGTACACACACATACCTGTGAGAAGAACCACTGATATATATAAGCCACCTAAGCGAATATTTGTATACATAAGTCTCAGTCATCAACAGAATATGAACACACAAACAAAATGGATATTGTACCCCTTAGAGTTAAATGCGACCATCAACTGATAAAGTTTCACAGTGTTATACAGTAATGTTTACTGATGACGTTTCGAGCACAATTTATTGCTCATAATCATAACAAGGTATTCACAAGAGGTGGCTGAAGCTTTTGCCATAAGGATTATAATGATGAGTAAAACAGATAGAAGAAGCGTTAGTATCAAATAACTATCCTAAAATTCATTGGAAGTTCAGTAAAGACCAAAAGCAAAATAAAAATAATTGTGAAACTAGTAATGATAACATAAATAACAGAGAATATAAGTCATCCACAAACATAACATCGGCCAAAGTGGGCGTCCCTTCGAATAAGAATCCAAGATCACAAGTTAGCCGTGAAAAGACATGATATAAATTCTTTAGTATCAATGCATACAGACAATTATGGACATCAATTTGATTGGGATAATATCAAAATATTAAACAGAGGAAACACCAAATGTGCCAGGGAATTCCTAGAAGCCTGGTACTCAAACGAAAGTGCCATTAATAAACACGTTAATATAAATGAAATATATCAACTAATAAAAAGCAAATCAGGTGACCAGAAAGTTTAAAAACCCAATACAATAGAAAACGGTCAATACATATGTAAAGATGGTTGGTCACCAGGAGACGCAATTGTATCATCATTCATGAAGATTCTAAGTCATTTGGCTTTATGTTAAGTACTGCGCTGAAGATGTCGTCCAGAAAGACGACGAAAGCTCCGCAACTAAACCAACCAGCTCAGAGAACACTATTAATTGCAAATAAGTCATCCACTGTTATATCATATAAAGAGAGGACGTCTGAGACTCTAGATAGGATTCTGAATAAAGCAGGAATTAGAGTGGCGTTCAAACATACAAACTCACTCAGGCAGGGTCATGCTCCGTAGGTTAAAGGACCCTGTCGGTTGACCCAATTAGATGAAATAATATAATTTACAAAAACCCAGTAATGACTGTGAGTCAAGTCAATCACATAGGTCAAACTAGCAGGTTGGGGGTAGTCAGATTGTCGGAACATAAGAATTTAGCTAAGGGAAGAATGGTTGACCCGAGAAGATAAGTAATTTAGAAAAAAGCTCAGCATCGCATTGCACTCCATGCATGCATTAACACACAACCACACAATAGGGTGAGAGTGGATTAAAACTCCAAGAAGTAATATAGGTGAGTGGAGAGAGAGAGAGAGAGGTTGATTACTGAATCCTTGTTCATTGAGTCTACACCCAACACATGCAGGAATGATTCATCACTCATACCTGAAATATGGAAAATACTACTACCAATCAAATCAAGTGAAAAACAATGGAACTATATAAATGAAGTTAGGAAGTCGTGTGACTACCTTGATATGATTATGAGCAGTAATAAATTGTGCTCGAAACACGGTCATCAGTAAACATTACTGTATAGCACTGTGAGATTTTATCTAAACAAAATTTACCCATAATGGAATATCAACTGATTTCGAAATAACAGTTCGTATAGGCAGCTAGGTAGGTATGGTATAAGTGACGCAAAGCGACAAGTGCAGTGTAAATTAAATACTATAATGCAATAAGATGAAGTAGTTTATCTGAAACGTGTAATGTACTGGCGATACACATTTCAGACATTCTCATCACACACGTACTTGTCATACACAGTTTTTATATAGAAGGCATGAAGAACTACAATGCAGGTCAGATTGTGTACGGGTCAAGATCATAAATAATGGGTAAGGAGACGCAAAAGGTGTGGGTAAGAAAGGTAAAAAGAGAAAAAACAAGGCAAAGAAGGGGTTGAACATATTATGAAGTAAACTGGTCCTTGGTTCTAAATTGGATTACCAAGGGAGGTTTAAGGTGATAACAAATAGCTTTTGGACACATAGGACAGGTTTAAGTCTTTTTTGGCTAAGGCTTCAATGAATTTAAGTATGTGACCCAACCTTGTTTTATATATCGGCTTAAAGACATTGTTGAAATCAACCGTATGACCTGTCTCTATTATGTGATTCGCTCCAGATGATGTTGGACATTTATTTCCGGGGTCAATTGTGTCTGGCGATTTCATTTGTTGTTGCAGCCACTTTGGAATGCGTCTCCCTACCTATTATTTGTGATCTTGACCTGCAAACAATCTGACTTGTATTGTACTTATTCATGACTTTTATATAAAAACTGTGTATGACAAGTACGTGTGTGATGAGAATGTCCGAAATGTGTATCGCCAATACATTACACGTTTCAAATAAACTACGTCTTCTTATTGTGTTGTCAAAATTCATAAAGGGAACTAATTGCTTTAAATACTGTAATACTAATGAGACATTCAACACATTATAGAACACTGGATTACTAAAATAGGCACTAATTGTTATTCAGTTCGGTTTGGACTTTCACGTTGACTAACTAGACCGAAGTTTTCAGTGTCTCAGGTTGACATGTCGGCGCTACTAGTACAGATGCTTCAACGATGCTGATTTTAATTTGGTGGATGGTGGACTAACAGTAGAATTCAGGGTGCGCATTTCAACCTAGTTTAGACTCATCACTTGGATATGCCTGCATACCACAGTGAGTTAGTGATGGTGTTCCCCCTGAGGCTCGAAGCCAATATCCACCATTTTAAACACAAAAGAGTTATCCACTAGACAGGTCAACAGTGGTCGAACACTTCAGTCCAATAAATTAATCGGTGGGAAAGTCCAAGTTAAATCATGCATTTTTTTTATTCCACTTTGATATCTGTTTGTGACTTATATGACTGGACAAGGCTTTTATATATAAGATGTGCCCATATATATATAGCTTTGTTATTTTAGTTTTGAATAATTTCCCTGAAGAAGTTCGGACCAGTTTGCCGACAAAACGCGTTGGAATTAGTTTTTTTTTTCAATTTCACTGGACTATAACAAATATTGTGGTGAAAGCTGTCTATAAGCTAAAATTTTAAACACCAATATACGTCAGTGTTTATGTCGAGAATCGGGGTCACGAGATAACAAAGCTTAACCTTGAGGGACTAGCCGACCAATCACAACAGACTTAACGTGTACACATACGATTAGCTGACATATGGTCTGACATCCAAAGAAACAACCACAAAGAGATGATAGATTCACTTTCAGTGAGAAAACAACCAATCAGAAGACGCTGTTTCGCTGGTAATAGTAACGAATAATAATGTACATAAAAATCTATAAATATCTGTTGCTTGGTCCTTGTCTTCACTCGGCTCCCACTTATTTTGAAACTATTCGATTTTCAACGCAAGTATCAAGGCGGTCTTTCTATATGGGTCAGAAACTTGGCGTGTCACGAAAACGATTTCTAACAGACTGCAAATTTTTACAAACATCTGTCTTCGCTATGTATTAAAGATCAAATGGTCAGAAACAATTAGCAACAAGAAACTCTGGCTGGGAACAAACCAACCATGAGCCGACAAAATATGTAGGAGAAAATAGAGATGGATCGGTCATATGCGACTGAAGAGGCCATCGAATGACATCGCACGTTAGCCATCACACGAGTGAGATGCAAATGGAAAACGACGAGTAGGTCGTCGCTTTGAAAGTGATATGGAGGAGATCTTGTGGCGAGGAGGAGATGATAGATTATGGGGAATCGTGGACTCAGCTGAAGAGAACGGTAGAAGATACGACAAAGTGAAGATGTATTGTTGAAGCCTTGTGTTCCACTCGGACGTCAAAGGAATAATAATAATAATTCGATCATATCTTCGTCACAGTTTATATGAATTCTCAGAGTGTTCACCGAATAAATAAACTCAGTGATGGAATTATACTCTACCAAAAATGTCCGCTTTCTTTTCTACTTCACTAATCTCAGAATTTTGAAATTTGTAAACCAACATCAAAGTCATCTACACGGTAGCCGAAAATTTTACCATAGCAGTACGAATCAAACTTTTTCAAACTGCAGAAGCGATAGCGATCCGCATATTAAATGCTGCATACATTTTTACTCCTTATAATTACTAACTAACCACTTGGTAACTAGACTGAAGTAAGCCGAGAGGGACTCAAACCCAGGATATACTGACTGAAAATTGAGTGTTTAAGCTAATGTGACACAATTTGAGAATGATATCGCTGAAAAGAATAAATAACTCTTCATTGGATGCCTTTTCTTTTATAAAAGGACTTGGAAATTAAGTCAGTAAGCTCAGGGAAGCTAAACCACACCAAAAAAATCAATGATAATAATTGATTAATAATCTTTCACTGTTTATAAAAAAAAATAGGCCTAAAGACACATCCCACCCTTACTCGCGGCATACCTTCAAATATCCAATCACCTTTATTATTATCTGGTCCAATGTAGTATAGTACATAGGTGTCATATCGAATATCACTGTCAGATAAGCATTCACGAAAAAATTTACCAATCCCTCGAAGATACTGTTCAGACAATGGAAGTGGTAGTAGATTATCATGATCATTATCAACAGCAGCAGTATTTGTGATATTGTCGACTTTGTTCACCTGACCTGATGATGTATAAACACAACCATATTTTTGTATTGAATAATAAGTGAAAAATTTCTCAATCAATAGCATTGACTTCATAAAAGGTGCTTTGTCAGATAACAGCTGACTTGTTATTGAATTTGTTGATGATTTGATTGGTGTTTCTCGAGATGATGGATGATTACTAGAGGAAATAATGACAAAATACAGGACAATAAAACTGATACTAATACACTATATACATATATATATATATATATATATATATATATATATAAGGCACTTCTTTATTACTCCGGAACCAGTGTGGAGATCTCTTGTACTCAGCATAAGGAATAACATCCAGAGCTCCAATACCAATGTCCCCACATGTGGTTCCGATAATTAGTTAGTGCTTCTCATGAGAAGCATTTCCGAAAGGTTATTGCCGGTGTTCACGTTCAACTTCAGCTGCCAGCTTTTTTGTTAACTCGATACAGAAGATCAGATGGCCTGCTAGAAAGGTTAAGCAGCACCAAAGAACCCCGGAACTAATCACCCAACAAAAGTACGCAACAGAAAATGGAGATAGATTAGTTGTACACACACACGCTGAAGAGACTGTCGAGTAACATCACACACACACGCAATGCAACCACTCGAGTGGAAAGCGAGTGGGTAGCAATCAGTTCAGTGTCCATCAGTAGTGACATGAAGGAGATCATGTGAGGGGGAATTGAAAGCTATTGGGAAATCGTGGAACCGGGTAAAAAGTCATGGAGAGGTTCTGTTAGAGGCTTAATATCCTACTTACAACGCAAAAATCAAAATAATACAAATAAATAATAGAACAATACATTTAAGCGAACAATATTGTGTTTTCAATTAGATCTCATCAGGCTTAACTCTAATATATATAAGTTTACAAATAAAATATAAATATAAACCAATCATGGTGTTTTGCCTATAGGATAATACGATGGTGAATATAAGTTATGCAATTAGTCATAATATTAGTAATAATAATAATGGTTTTATCAATAATAAAGATGAAAAATGAGGCAATCTGTGATAACACGAATAATGAAAAAAACAGTATGATTGAACAAACAAATGTTCAGGTAGACGTAGTAGTCGATAAAGGCTAAGAAAAACAAATGAGCCGATTAATTAATGCTAGATTGTAAGAGTAAATGAAACACGTTTTTAATGAAGATGTGATAAGATTAAGGGATGATAAGAGAGGGATTGAAAATATAAGTAAGGGGTGGTGTAGAAGTCATCAGTTGGTTATGTGTTAATACGCCACTAACGGAGGGATAATGGCTGTACGAACTTCTTTTGAATACATAGTTTAGGTTTAATAGTTCGAATGCCTATCGCCTAAGCTATGTGTGTGCAGTAGACGAATACGAAGTCTATTGGAATGACTCGGTGGGATACGATGAATTACTTTGAAGGCTTTCGTTTTCTCCGCTACATGACCGCTATCAAGTAAATGTGACAAAATTGAGCCACGTGTTGTTTCTGTCTGTCCTTTGCCAAACCACCACGATGGGAGATGTTTAGTAGTGACACGTTGGCTAAGCTGTCTAGTAGGTACACCCGACATAACTGTCACCGCAGGTGGAGTTGAATTGATAAATGCACATAGATGTGGCAAAATTATCTAGCTTATCCTTCGTTTGCGTCCCAATCATTCGTCGGCTAGAGAATGACAAACATGGGTGAGCTGCGTAAAATGTTCTACGTATACTCCTTGAAAGTCTTTGGAATAGAATCTCACTTGATAAGTCACCATTTAAGTGTAATTTAATAAATAGAGGTTTCTTATGTGCAGTCAGAGTCACAGGTTTTTTCTCTGATGGTTTCATATGTTTCTTTATGAAACTACTCGGATAGCCCATCTCCGTCAAAGAATCGTGAATATATTCAAATTCCTTTTGTAAGAGGTCATCCGTACATATCTTCCTTGCTCTGCTCGCGAGACATTCTACAAGATTCCTTTTTTATTTAATGGGCACGTAACTAAGGAAGTGTGTGTATTGCCCTGTGAATGTGCTTTTTCTGCACACACTTCTCCCAAGTGACTCATCTTCTCTCCTACTGAGCAAGACATCCAGGAAATGTAGTTTATTCTCCTGCTCCTCTTCACAAGTAAAGGTAAGCGAAGGGTGGATATTGCTGAATTTAAGTAACAATTCGTTTACGTTGACACTCCCATCAGCTAAGATAAATGTATCATCGACATATCAGTAATACATATCCAACTCCTTGATGGTATCCTTCAATTTCCCGTTTTCAAGTTTTGCGAGAAAGAAGTCAGCTAATATTGGGCCTAATTATTTTATTTTTCTTTGAAATTTTCATTTCAGCTTGATTCCACACAGGCATGGAATTTTCAGCACGTGATATCGGTAGCCCAAATTTTTCAGGCCGACCATAGATATCAGGTGTGCGTCGGCAGGGGATCAAACCCCGGATCATGTTCATGGGGTCAGCGATAATCCTAACCACTGTGACACCGACGCACATTTGATAAAAAAAATTCACTGTTAAGTGTTCTACTCAGAGTATCTATCCAACTTGATACATAATAGTAAGAATAAAAAATGGACTTTGGTATACTCAAGTCAATATTTCATATGCACCACAATAACAAAAAATCAATGACTCGAAAAAAACTAACTTTACTTACAAATCAGATTTATAATTTGAAAATTGACTGGTAAATTTGCAATTTACACAGTTCGGAGTGGTGTGAAATACTATTTCATCGCGGTTTTCTTTACAAATCAAGTTACTCTTATCACAATATCTGATCCATTCGATATCCGGTCTGACTCAGCTTAGAGAGAGGCGTCAGTTATTATGCATGTATGTATTGCATGTTTCCCATTATTTAGGAAGTGAAGTTCTTCCTTGCAAACACCTATATATATATATATATATATATATTACAAGTTCAAATGTGATAGTACATGCAAAAGACCGTTAAAGGACTGAAAGATGCTTATCATTGTAATCACTACTGAGAGTTCATACATCTAAGTAGTTGAGTCAGTGATTCATATTAGTTTGTTTATAAGATATATCACACAGTGACTCCAACAGTATTATTTACTGGATGATACAGTTTTGAACAAAATGCATTGTTCATAATCATTTCATCATCAGTTATAATCACACGACTTGGAAACTTGAGTTTTATAGTTTTCTTTCTTCTCTCCTATTTGTCGTCGTTGAGGTAATGGAATTTTCCAGATATCTGGGTGGACAGGTGTTGAACCATTCCTATAACACGTATTTGCAGTTTATACGATGAACAAAGCTTCTGTTATCAATCTCTCCCTCCATCCACCCCGTGACATTAGATTTTAAAACTGCCATCTTATCCCATCCATCTTATTGTACGGTTGTGCAGAATTGCATGTAGTCAGTGCTATACAGCGGAACTATTCTCTAGATTACTTATCTTATTCGGGTCAACTAATCTAGATTTTTATGCTTAGCTAGTCTGACTGCCCCTGTTCTACTTTTTTGACCTGACAATCATACCCTCCTCCTGGGTATAAGATAAACTAAATTGTTTTGTTTTAAAGGCTCCACCGGATTGATCCTTTAACCGATAAAGCTTGTTTGTAATTGAGTTTGTTGGTTTGAATGCCAGCCACTTTTATTCCTGCCTTCTTAAGAATTCTGCGTAAGGTCTCCGAGGTTCCTTCCTTCTATGGAACTACTACTGATGATTTAGATTCCTTATTGTTGGTGTTGTCTTGCGCATATTTGACATGCAGTCGTCATTAATATTACCATTATTATTATCACTATCACTACTATCATCATTTATTTTATTTTTGCATTTCCCTACATACTTTCTGACTAATTTATCAGGGTAATTATTAAGTATCAAGGCTTCTCTGATATGTCTCACAATCTGTCTTTGATTTTCCTTGGTACTACTTAGTTTTTGTGCTCTGTCATTTAAACATTTCACCAATCCTATTTTTACTAACATCGGATAGGATGATTGGAAGTCCAAATATATGCTTGAATGTGTGAGTTTCCCGTAAACACAAGTGTTCTTTCCTTTTTATGCTACAATCTGACATTGGAAGTTCCCCTTCCTGACTTTCCACTTCAAAGTGAATTGAACTGCCTGGACCTTTGAGTTAGTGTGTTCGAAAAATCTAGTTATGTCCTGTGTTCTAAGTACAGTGAATGTGTCATCTACATACCTCCACCATACTTTGGCAGATATATTCATGGATAGGTGAGAAAACATAGCAATTGAAAGGTTCACCCCCAACTCAAAAGTTTGCTATAGCTATAGCATTACATGCAGTCACATACAACCATACAATAGGATGGATGGGATAAGATGGCAGTTTTAAAATCTAATGTCACGGGGTGGATGGAGGGAGAGATTGATAACAGAAGCTTTGTTCATCGTATAAACTGCAAATACGTGTTATAGGAATGGTTCAACACCTGTCCACCCAGATATCTGGAAAATTCCATTACCTCAACGACGACAAATAGGAGAGAAGAAAGAAAACTATAAAACTCAAGTTTCCAAGTCGTGTGATTATAACTGATGATGAAATGATTATGAACAATGCATTTTGTTCAAAACTGTATCATCCAGTAAATAATACTGTTGGAGTCACTGTGTGATATATCTTATAAACAAACTTATATGGAATTACTTACTACCACAGTGCCCAAGTTTTGCACATATATTGAGTCAGTATTCGCTGACAGATGAAATGTAAACTCGTTAGTCCAAAATTTAATTTCTATTATCTCTTGTTTAAACACCACGTTAATCTAACCATCAGAAAACTGGATTTACAACGCTTTGAAGCGTTCAGTCTTAGTCTGTACAGCTGTGTGTATCAGCTCCATGCGTTTGGACAAGATGAATATTCATTTTTTTTCGTAAAAAGTGCTGCGAAAGTCGTCACTGACAGTGTTTTGAAGATGCACAGAGAGAAGTTCAATCAGGGGAGTGAGCTCGTTCTATAAAAGACAATTGCTGTGAATCGGTGCCTATCGGTGGATCAGTAATTCTTTGGGTACGATTCAAAAGATGATACGACTCAATAACTCTCAATCCTATTGGACACAGCCTAGAATCTAAATCAATAATGACTGATAATGCTACAGTGTCGTCCTATTTGGGACTCGTCATCTGAATGTGCCTGCATTCCGAAGTGAGTGATGGTGTTCCTACCGAGGCTCGAACCCAGTGCCCATAGTTTCACCACTCGGGCCCAAAGGGTCTAGTGGATAACGCTTTGGCGTTTGAAACTATGGGCACTGGGTTCGAGCCTCGGTGGGAACATCAATGCTACAGTTTCTTTGTTATTGTTTTTTTCTATCCTTGGAAGTGATATCTAGTCATGAGTGCTTGTTCAGGATTATTGAACAAAAATGCTTACATATTTGCTACTGTATATTTGCATAGATTTCTATTCCACCATTCCGCCTGGCGCATTTTTCTATGCACATACTATCATTATTTGGCCTACCTCAGTTACCTGGGTCAGATCTTTCATATGTCAGGCTAAATAACACAGTTTCGTCTGTAATAGCTGATGAATACTGCCGAAATTGCCCAGACCAAAGCAGCAGCAGCAGTAGGTGAGGCGGGACTCGAACTCGCGAACCAAGAGCTAAGTGCCTAAGCCAATAGAGTCATAACACCACACTTATAAAATACTAAGTTTCTGTTTAAATAAAAACATAAATTTCAAAAAACCAGTGGGAAGTAGATACATAAAGCAAAGGTAAAAAGCGAACAGTTGTTGTTTCTTTTTCAATAATGAAGACTACATCTTCGAAATAAATGGGAAGAACCTGAAAGAAACAACCTCCTTCACCTACCTGGGAAGCATCGTCTCAACTACAGGCGGAACTGACGAGGACATCAAAGCCAGAATCGGAAAAGCAAGACAAGCTTTCATTACTCTCAAATCTGTGTGGAGGTCAACAGCACTCAGCATCAAAAATAAGATCCGGATTTTCAACTCCAATGTGAAGTCAGTGCCACTTACTATACGGATCAGAGACTTGGCGAGTCATAAAGAGCACCTCAAACAAACTTCAAACCTTCATTAACAACTGTCTCCGCTCAATACTCAAGATCAGATGGCCAGAAAAGATCAGCAACAGGAATCTCTGGGAGCGAACCAATCAGGAACCGATTGTGAAACAAATAGGCAGAAAGAAATGGAGATGGATTGGCCACACGCTGAGGAAACCATCAAGTGACATCACTAGACAAGCCCTCGAGTGGAACCTGGCCGAAAGGGAGGCGGCGAGTTGGTCGTCCAAGGGTGACTTGGAGGAGGTCATGCGAGAAGGAGATGAAAGCATGTGGACAGACCTGGAGCAGGGTGAAAAAGTTGTCAGAAAACCGAAGTCAATGGAGGTGCGCAGCTGAAGCCCTATGTTCCTCTAGGAACTAAAGGATACAATAATATAATAATAATAATACATCTTCGAAATGGGAGATGTGCTGAGAGCGTGTATTAGATATGTACATTCATGATACGTCTTAGATAATACAGTCTATTTAGGTCTTCTACCAGTAGTCCAATGATAATCTCCTTCACGAGTGTACATAGAAACTGTGTATGAAAATGCCTTACTGTTATGGAAGATTATTATTATTATTGTTCCAAGTATTGGTTTTGTAGGGATTTTTGTTTGATTGTATTATTGTTCCCTTGTGTTCAAAGTGGGACGTAGGACTTTGACAGCATATTTCCATTTTGTTCTAACTTTTACGATCCTTTTCAGCTGGTCGCACGATTGCCCATAATCTCTTATCGCCTCTTCACAAGATCTCCTCTCCATGTCGCCCTCATTCACACCTATACCCAACTCGTCGTTGCCCATTTAGGTTCCACTCGAGTGGTGACCTGGTTGACGCGCGATGTCATTCGACGGTCTCTTCAGTGTGTACCCTATCCATCACCATTTTCTTCTACATATTTGTTGAACGATATGTTCCTGGTTGATTCGTCCCCATAGTTTTTCGTTGCTAATTTTTTCTGGCCATTTGATCTTCAATACACAGAGAAGACAGGTGTTGATGAAAGTTTGCAACCTGTTGGAAATGTTTGTCGTGATAAGACATGTTTCTGATCCATGTAGAAGAACTGGCTTCACATCCACGTTGAAAATCTCGCCTGGTTTACTAGCTCGTTAGTTTTCTAGCCGGTCGAAAGCCTACGCAAAGAGGGTGGGTTGTTTCTGGGGTTAGCGACCCTACCCTAAAAAATCAATTAAAATGCTACAGAAACTTCAAAGCACAAGGTAAATATTAAAAATGCAAATATATATATATATATATATTTTAAAAATTATTCTCCGCTGGAATCGGGTTGGTAAAAGCCTTCAGGCAGCCAGTCAGCCAGCCGATGTGTCTTCTCTCGTTGAAAGTAAGAATAAGAATGGGAGCGTGGAATCTTCGTACAATGTACCAGACTGTCTAGGAAAGCTGTCCAGGTAGTCAAAGAAATGAGAAGATATAGTACAGAAGTGCTCAGAATCTGCGAGAGCAGATGGAATGGATTTGGAATGTTATTCAAGAGATGAAATGAAAGTCACTCATCACTCACACACAAACACAAATGCACAAATTGATGCCCATATGACAATAAGCTATAATTAGTAGCTTTCATTCCTCCGAGTTTTGACTGAAACATACAGCTTCAAGTTTAGAGGTGCTAATAGCGATGATGCTTTTGTGGAGTACATTTGCTAACTTCACGACAAACCTTCCCTCTCTACTGGGTTCACTAGATTCCAAGTGAGGTTTAGCAGCTCGTCAGCAGGTGAATAGAACCCTCACAACATGCGTGGTTGACAGGTATTCTACCATGGAACCACAGACATTCCCAATTAGTTAGCTGGTTAGTTAGAACTCAGTTACTCGGAATATGAGCCACATGCTATTGTGTATACTACCCGGTTACTTATGATGAACAACGGAGCGTAGTAAGACTCAAGCCCCAGGCACCATGACCTACACACATCTGTACTGTGTCGGCTGGTGATAGTACCACCTTGTTACCCAATCCTAAGTGTTTTTGCGTAAGGTATAGCAAACACCGCAAAAAGGATATTCCAGCTGAGTAACAGCCAAATGTACCGTCTGAAATTACTACAGTCATCTCTAAAACACACGCACAATAAAAAATCACATAAGACTGTGGAACAACACCAATAACCTGAGGAAATTCAAATTTGTAACTGACCACCACTATTCTATGCTGTCAATTAGACGGTAACTAGAAGAAGGTTAACTTATTTCGGTGAAATCTCGTTTGGTGGCATAAGTCACCCTAAGCGCGAAAACACCTTGCGAGTACTTTTACCGCTACTCATTTAAATGTACATATACATATTTTGGAAAAAGGCTGAGATAAAAAGGCAAATAAACAAACAACTCACCTATTCTGGAACGTTGAAAATTGGTGACATAAAGCATAACCAATAGCATTTGGACCTGTTGTTTTACTAAGATGATAAAATATGCTGACAAGGTAACAATCCATTAAAAATGATAACTGTAATAATAAAGGTACAAATTCTGATTTAACTGGTTTAAATGAACCACTTAGATATTGAGCACTGATGAAGATAATAATAAAAAGGATAGTTATCAAAATTGAAAAGAACATATTGGATTGTGATATTAAAGCCACGTAGCGGGCACCAAGTGATGCCCATACACGGTTTTGTCCTAAATGAGAGAGGCAGAGAGAGAGAGAGAAAAAAAATATGAATAAAAGATTATTGATCAATATACGAAGTCTCTTTTAACAATCAGTGAAATTGATATAAGAATAAAACTTGTGCACTGCAGTGGTAGAGTATAATTCCATTATGGGTAAAATTTGTTTTGATAAAGTCTCACAGTGTTATACAGTAATATTTACTGATGACCACATTTTGAGCACAATTCATTACTGCTCATAATCATATCAAGGCACTACTCACACAACTTTCTAACTTCCATTATTATTTTTATGAGTATGAAAAGAAAATTCAGCAATCAACCTCTCTCTCTCTCTCTCTCTCCATCTACCTAATTACACTTTAGAATTTTAACCCTCTCCTACCCTATTGTGTGTGTGTGTGTGTGTGTGCGGTTGTGTGTTAATGCATGCATGCATGCAGTACAATGCAATGCTGAGCTTTTTTCTAAATTACTTAACTTCTCGGGGTCAACCATTCTTGGTTTAGCTAAATTCGTATGTTCTACTCCAAAAATATGGTGGAGATATGTGGATGACACTTTCACAGTGTTAACAAACAGTCTTTGCACCCATGAATATAAACTAGCCGTCAAAAGACAAGATATCTTCCTCCCTTATATCACTGCATATAGACAACCAGGGACATTAATTCAACTGGGAAAACGTTCAAATATTAGACAAAGAAAACACCAAGAACGTCAAGGAATTTTTGGAAGCTTGAAATTCATCTCAGTGAACCGGTAATTAACACGCACACTGACATAGACAAAATTTACCAATCCATAAGAGGAAAATCTCATGCACAAAATGTAAAACTTAAGGTCAAGGAAACAATCAATACCAGTACAACAGTCTACGAATAACCTACCCTAGCCGTCCACTGATGCAACACGTTACGTCAATTTTCCAATTTCATTGTATTTACATGTTTACCTGCTCTAATACAGCTAGGTATATATTGGACTTTCGTCAAGAAAAACATATCCCACCGCATTTGAGAACACTTCTCAGCTTGACTGAGTAAAGGAGAGCTTAATGGCATTTATTTATCTATATTGTAAATTACAGCGGATACTGATCATGCAGCGTTTGATACACACTCTTTAAAATATAGTCTACAAAGTTTACTGAAACGAGCACGAATGCATTTACTTTGCATAACGGAAGCTTTGGCAATATAGCCTCCTTTAATTCCATGTTTCATTTTGTATTTTATTTTATTTCACTTTACGTTATCACGGACGAGGATGTCAAATCGAGAGTCGTGAAGGCGAGAAACACATTCATCAACCTGAAACCAATCTGGGAATCCTCGTCACTCAGCATCAACAACAAAATTCGACCGGTTTTTCAATACAAACGTCAAGTCAGTCAGTTCTTCTATACGCATCAGAAACTTGGCGGGTGGGTCACAAAGAATATTTCCAACAGTCTGTTGCAGACGTTACCTTTATCAATAACTAACTGTCTTTGCTCTATACTGAAGATCAGATGGCCCGGCCGGAAATAATCATCAACAAGAAACAATGGCAACCAACAAAACAAGAACCAATCGCCAACTAACAAATATGCAGGAGAAAGTGGAAATAGATTGGACACTCGCTGAGGAGGCAGTTGGGTGGCATCGCGCGTCAGGCAAGTGCTCAAGTGGAACCCGAAAGGGAAGCAGAGAGTTGGTGGTTAGTGCAAGGGTGACATGGAGGAGATCGTGTGAAGAGGAGTTGAAACAGTATGGACTAACATGGATGCAGGTGAAACGTACAGCAGAAGACAGAAGCAAGTGGAGACGTGCAGTTGAAACCTTATGTTCCACTAGAAACCCAAAGGAACAATAATAATAAGACGTCATCACATTCTAACATTTTATTGACAACACTTCGCTCATCTTATATTCCCCATCAATATTAGACACATATCCGAATGTATTTTATTTTTCTATCATCTATCATCACTCATGTCTATTGAACTTAAGATTGACCTCTATTTATTTGGTTATAGGAATGTTCACAAGCTGACATCAGGAGTTAGAGAATCATTGGAAAACCAGCTAGGAGTAGTGGATAGCTGTTTTGTCCTAGATTAGAACTATTCAGAAGTACGCACACACCACCAGGGGTTAGACCACAGGACCTTCCAGTTACGAAGCGAGCTTTTAGACGATTCAACCAGTGGAATCCAACCCAATGATCCATGAATTCCAACTTTCACCAATATATATATATATATATATATATATATATATATATATATATATATATATATATACAAAGTGTTGATTGACAGGGATTTGACTGGTTATTGATTTATTCATACATCTACTCCATTTCTAACTCATAATCATCATATACACTAATATGATCACACTATAGTATTTCCATTCACTGTCACACTTCAACTGACACACACACACACACAAGTAAACTGATTTTTATTGTCTATTGTACCTCATATCTGTGTGTACAATTGTACAGTTATGTAAATGAAATCATTGAAAAGAGAAATTTCTTCAAAAGAATGGATACTGAACAAAGAGTACTCTTTTCGATAACCCCTTCATCATCAGGCTCTACAGTTATATATACACTATAGTGAATGAATGAGTTAGTGTTATGAACAACGTTAATGTTTAAATAACCGCGAATCAATAATATCAATAGATATTACAGCTCAATAGCATCAACATAAAATAAGCTGAATATCAGAAAAATTAGGAAAGATAATAGTACAAATTCATGAATTTATAGCCTCGACTGAAGGCCAGGGCAGTAGCAGTGACTGGCTGGACTTGGTTCTTTTGAACACAAAGCACTGGTTGTTTCACGCGAATTGCGATAGCCTATGCTGTTTGCACCATGCGGTGCTTCGATGATTTTAGCAATTTATTAGGCCCCTTGTAGATTATAGAGAAGGATTCTTCAGTGTTGGCTGGTTTTGTGACCGGTTTGCACCAGATGGTCCAATAGCGAACTGTTAATGGCTTTCACTACACCTTCACTTAGCCATAGTGGGAGATGTTCTCGAGCACGAAAAATCAAGTTTCTAGAGCAACAGCCAATATAACTCGCTCCAAAAGCGCACTTGAATTGGTTAAAATCTTTATTTTATGTCTCAATAAGAATTATTAATTTAATAATGAGTTTGAAGTTGAAATACTCCTCATTCACTATTCAATGTTGAAGAGGATGACACTCATAAATACTTAGAACAACACATTTAAGCGAACAATATTGTTTTCGATTAAATCTCATCGGACTTAACTCTAATATAGATAAGTTTACAATTAAAAATTCAAATACATACCAATCATGGTGCTTGTCTATAGGATAATAAGATGGATATAAATTGTGCAATTAGTCATAATAAGAGTAATGATAATAATAATAACACAAACGAAAGATAAGCTAGATAATTTTGCCACATCTATGTGCATTTATCAATTCAACTCCACCTGCGGTGACAGTTATGTCGGGTGTACCTACTAGACAGCTTAGCCAACGTGTCACTACTAAACATCTCCCATCGTGGTGGTTTGGCAAAGGACAGACAGAAACAACACGTGGCTCAATTTTGTCACATTTACTTGATAGCGGTCATGTAGCGGAGAAAACGAAAGCCTTCAAAGTAATTCATCGTATCCCACCGAGTCATTCCAATAGACTTCGTATTCGTCTACTGCACACACATAGCTTAGGCGATAGGCATTCGAACTATTAAACCTAAACTATGTATTCAAAAGAAGTTCGTACAGCCATTATCCCTCCGTTAGTGGCGTATTAACACATAACCAACTGATGACTTCTACACCACCCCTTACTTATATTTTCAATCCCTCTCTTATCATCCCTTAATCTTATCACATCTTCATTAAAAACGTGTTTCATTTACTCTTACAATCTAGCATTAATTAATCGGCTCATTTGTTTTTCTTAGCCTTTATCGACTACTACGTCTACCTGAACATTTGTTTGTTCAATCATACTGTTTTTTTCATTATTCGTGTTATCACAGATTGCCTCATTTTTTCATCTTTATTATTGATAAAACCATTATTATTATTACTAATATTATGACTAATTGCATAACTTATATTCACCATCGTATTATCCTATAGGCAAAACACCATGATTGGTTTATATTTATATTTTATTTGTAAACTTATATATATTAGAGTTAAGCCTGATGAGATCTAATTGAAAACACAATACTGTTCGCTTAAATGTGTTGTTCTAAATTTTACTATGGGAATATTTATATATATATATATATATATAAACTGCGTCAGTGGCACAGCGGTTAGGACTCTCGCCGACCATGCACATGGTCCAGAGTTCGATCCCCGACTGACGCACACCTGATATCAATGGCCGGCCTGCTAAATTTGGGCTACCGATATCACATGCTGAAAATTTCATACCTGCACCGAAAATACTGTGTGAAATCAAGCTATAATCAAAATTAACAAAAAAAACAACAACTAGATAAACAGAACTTACCGTTATGTTGGAATGGTAAGCTATGCGTTGCACAATCACTACGCTGAATTATTCTGCCTAGCCGTAAAAGACATAAGCAACAAATAGAATGTAGAATAATCCATAAACAGATAAAGATACCATAGAATAAACTTGTTGAAAATTTATCCCATGTCAATGAATTCATTAAAGTTAAAATAAAAATCAATTGAATGGTAATATAAACACAAGATAAACATAAATACAATCGTATAGATATATTCTTGTATAAATGATAAGTAAATTTAAACCTTTTAAATAATGGACAAGTAATAAAATAGGATGCACAAATAAGTATATAAGTAAACAATATAAATCCATGAATTAAAATGTAAAATGCAATTGTATTTGAATGTATTCTTGATATAAGTGTCTCACTGTTACCATTATCTGGTAAATAATTAAAAATAGAATAACACAAAAGGCCAACTAAAGACACTATACTTAAACAAATAAGCATGTAACGTTGTTCATTCAGTAAAACAAAATGAATAACTATTGAGATATTGAACAATATTAATGTTAAGCATGATGAGCTTAATGAGGATGATGATTGTGCATTAACATTATTATTACTGATATGAAAGAATGAACCAACCAAAAATCCAAACCACAATAAAATTCCTTCATTAAAATGTTTAAAATTATTATGCATTAAATACATCAATACTGGGCATAATATTCCACTGGTTAGTGTTAACAAATCTCCCATAATCATACTTATTTTTGTAGTTGATTCTGCTTGTAAATTTTTATTCGATATATTGTGTTGATTGATTAAAAGTGTATTCAACAGAACACCAGATAGTAAAAATAACAATGATGATGGTGAACATAAAAGTTTAAGATTTATTGAATATTTAGTAAATGATAGTAGACGCTTTAAAATCAATGATAATAATACTGTTAAGCGGTAGGGAACAGATTGCAGAATAAAAGTGTATTGAAGAAATAAAATCATGCATATAACCGGTGTATAAATAACAAATAATACCAGATAATAGAAGAAATAAAATAATTAGAGGACAAGAAAAAGACGACGAAGACGTTGAACAAGCTGATCTCATCATTGCTATTACTAGTATTATTATTTTTACTATTTAACACAACTGATTAGCCGATAGGCAGTAAAGTTACAATAATTTCGATTAACAGTCACAGGTGATATCTGAAACAAAAGGAAGAAAAAACACAATTTGGATAAACGCATTAAAAAATATGCACAAACGGCAGTGAGTAGTATGTGATATTGTGGTGAGAGCAGGCTGCTAGCCAATCGGTAGACATTAATTTACGTCAATGTCTAGGTCACTAATATTGGCCGTGAGAAAATATGAACAAGACTGATTCAACAACCAATCACAGCAGACTTAACGTGGGCAAATATGATTCGCAGATAGATGGCTCCATTTTCCGAGGTTACCCGAAACAACCAGGCAGAAGCCTGCGTTTGTCTACTTAACTTCCGAGAAACAACCAATCAGAAGACTGCGTTTGTCTACTTGAATAAGTTATAAAAATGTACAGGAAATATATATAAATACGTGTTGATTTACGTAATAAAACGATCTGTTGCCGGCCCTTGTCTTCTGTTGTTACAATATATTTTGGAATAATCGGTTCAAAACTTATAAAATAATGATATATATTCAGATAGGTATTTACACAATGCCACCTTTTATATTCGTTACCGTGGTTTGTATTTATGTACGATGAGAATTGGTAGAAGTTAGAATTTACCAGCCATTGGAATTCCCACCTTCTTACAACCCAGTGGCTGTATATTCACGGCGGTTGCCTTCCGCCAACCCTCATCTCCTGGGTTCAATCCACAATGGAGTTATGTTATGTACTCGTCGCTAAATTATTGCTATGTACTGGTCGAGAATTTAATAGTCCTGACGCAAGAAGGCGGAAATCAGAAGACCACTAGGTTTGCGATGATACTTCTATTTTCCAAACACAAGGAGAATGCAATAAGTGGTATCACACCAAAGTAAGTAGAGTAAGTAAGTCACACAAATTGTGAGAGCGAAATATATATGAATACCCAGACAAAGGGTGTGAACAAATTACTAGACAGTCTTAACATGAATGGCTAATTATAATGGAGTGTCGATCCTAATATACATAGCAAAATATAGCAGACATGTCAACAACCACCATATATGGATATGTCATCAAGCAACGGACTGTCAACAAACACATTATATTATATATAATATAAGGAGAATACACATTGTTAAAGGAGACAGGTTCATCAAAATGAAATGGTCACAGACTAAGCGAGCAAACAGAAAAAGAGATCACCATACACACACACATATATATATGTGGATACATATCAAGTTATAAGTACTCGTCGGAAGAGTCTCAAGCTAGGACGAAATATAATACTTCATGGTTCTCAAAGTATCGATGTAACTTCACAACCCCATCAACTGACTTTTCCTCTTCACCAGAAACCCTACGCCTAACTTTATTATTATGCATTTACTTACTTAACGTGAGTTTGAAAGGAATGCACAATTAAAGAATTCTAAGTATTAGATGAATAAAACAATAACAATCATGCGATGAAAATGAGTTGTAGTAATCGTGATAGGAGTCGTGATCATGAGGTTAACAATTGGTGCTGAAAATACCGTTACCCCCCCCCCTATTATTAATCATCGTCTCATGTAGCCTACTGACTACAATCAAAATTCACATTAAACAAAATAAACACTACCCGTTAATCAGACAAACCCCTCATCAGATTCTACTTTTTTCCCGATAGATGCCCACTGTTTATCTGTCTGTTTTTGACATAGAACTTTGTACCGATGTGCGGCAGTTCAAGTCGCCACACTCCCCCCTTGTACCACACAAACCAAGAGAAGAAAGTAGAAGAAATGCATAAAAGAGACAGTAAACAGAGGTGTGAGACAAAGGAATAGTAATAACGAAGAACAATATAGTTTCATTGGGTATTATAAGTCACAAGGAGTGGATGCATCTGCACTGGCCATTGAGAACGATTTTGAGCTATATCACCAATTGTTTCCAACCATTGATTTTTACCGTCCCGAGGACCCCAACCAGGAAGTCTACACCTCCCTACGTGGCTGGATCAAACTAACTGTTGTGGATTTCATTGACTGGTGAAGCCATATTTTGGTTTGACTGCAGCTAGCTCTTTTCCAGCCTGACCCTATGTCAGCTAACATCGCCCACTTTCGGGGAAGGCGATGACAAGGCATCTACGCGTAACACATGTCCTAATCACCTCAGTTGATGTAATTTCACGGCCTCGTCGATTGATTTCTCCTCCTTACCTAGAACTCGACGCCTAACCTCAATATTGCTCACTTTATTATACCACTTCACATGGGAGATAGAACGCAGGCACCTATAATTGAAGACAGCTAATCTTTTCATGTCTTCCACTCTCAATGGCCAGGTCTCACATCCATATAGGAGGACGGAGCGGACTGATGAGCAGTACACCCGCCCTTTGGTCGACACCCAGCCGGATATCACGTCTACTAAGACAGAGACGGCGTAAACTGGCATATGCAAAACTAGCCCTCTGTATCCGTGCTGAAGTTTCGTCAGAGATCAACCCGTTGGCACTGGCTGATGGTACTTCCCAAATAAGTGAAGCGGTCAACGTGCTCTGCCACTTCATTCCCTATTTCTAAACTAGGAGTCAGTGTAGTCCAGTCCTGCACCATCATCTTACATTTGATGCCCACTATTTCTGCTGTCATACAATTACATTACAAGATACTTCTTGATTATCAGTATTATAACATAAATATCTCTCTGTCTCTCTTGTCTTGAATGCATGTTTCAAAATAATCATGGATATCATCCCACTAACCAGTTACGGTCAAAGAAATCTACCACAAAACTATCGTAATGGGGTATGTATGTGAATAATTGGCGAATACACCGCCTATCTAAACTATTCGCATCACAAGTGAATACCTCACAAACTGTACACCTGCATAATATAACACCACGAAAATTGTATAGGTAGTTTATAAGCCTCGCAAATGTTACTATGCTTAATGAGTTCAATCAATTATGTTCTTACTACAATGTCTGCTATGTGAATGATGACAGCGTTTTCTCATAAGTTGAGTCTCATAGAAACAAACATAGAATGCAATATGGTAGCTGTACATTCAGTGAAACAGAAAATAACTACATCTTATCTGCGTAGGAAATCTCCGCCCCCCTTATAGCTTATTCGTAAGCAACCACCACATCACTACTCATGTAAGCGTTTAACACTCGGAACAGATCATAAGACCCGTTCAACATGTCTATAAACTCAAGATAACACGAGGTCAGACCTATATATGCCAGGAGTTTTCTCAATGATATGGATATATACGTGGGAACCAACCTCGTAAACAACATACGGTGACGCATTATCTTAGCAAAAAAAACGACGCCGCTTACAGGGAATTTGGAATTCTGTGAAGGAGAAATAAAATGAGACTACTATTAGCATCTATGCACAACTTTCTTCTACAAATACTCATGTCATTTAAACATCATTAAAAGGCGACACACCAGTGACATTTTCTCAGAATTAATTGTCTTATGTTTATAGTGACTGTCATCTACCTCTCGGCTCATCTGTTGCATTAATTTGTCTTCCAAGTCATTCGGATTATTCTGCTTAGCAGCATCTACGGCCATATCCAATTCTGTACAGTTACTAACCAACTTCGCCTTGATTACGTCTGACCATAAATTGACTCATATCCGCCTTACTTCCCAATGTTTTATAGGAAATGAAACTCTTAAGCTCTCCTTTTTTGGTGATGCCGTGAAAAATGTAACGTACACCAAGACTGGGCTTCAAAATGCAGTTGAGCAAGTTACGCATAGATCTCTTCGCATTGTGCAATACAAACAATCCCATTTCCAAAACGCATATGTGTTAAAAAGAAAGAGGATGAATTGCGAAGTTGTCTTTTCTATTTTGATCTTTAGAAGACGCATCAAAATGAAGCAACAGGAAACCGTATTTGTAACGAATCACTTGATGATAATAAATTTACCCTAGATGAGAGCAGCAGCTTGTATGTCGCAGATAGCTCGGTCAGTATCCTTGCATGTTCATTAAATACTTCTGAAGGGACATAGTGGAGGTGTTAAGGAAACAACATTCCACCATATCTCTTAATTCGTGGAAATGGCTGTCGAAAAGATTTCCGTAAATAGCATATAAGGACGACAGATCATAAATTTAAATATTCCAATTATGATAATTATAGGGCACAATTTAAGCAAATATGTATTTTTGCTAAATTCGCAACAGGCTTTGTAATCATGTGATATAATATCAACCATAGATATTTGAAACAATGTCGTTAATAGAATCAAAGTTCAGGGATGTGAATTAGTGGAAGAGAATTGAGGTGAACATAGTAATAATACTGATGATGGTAATAAGGGTAAACTCACTCGTGTTTATATGACCAAGTTCCCCCTTAGTTTGCTTCCCGATTGCTCCTTAGCTCTCATCTCCTCCTCATACCATTTCTTCCATATCATACTTGGATGCACAATTCGTCGTTTCTCACTTGGGTTTCACTCGAGGTCCTGGCACATGATGTCACCCAATGGTCTCCTCCTCGTGTATACGATCCATCTCCATGTCCTTCGGAATATTTGCTAAGCAATGGGTTCTTGGCTGGTTCGTTCCCAGACTTCCTTTTTTTCCAACCCTTTCTGACCACCGTTCATAAAAATCTGAAGCCTATTGAAAATGCTTTTCATGACACGTCGTTTCCCACACATATAGAAGAATTGACTAAACATTTGTGTTGGAAATGCCAATTTTGCATTTCATGCTGAGTACTGATTTCAGGGTGATGAAAGTCTGTTTTACTTTTACGATTCTTCTTTTGACACGCTCACCCGTGCTGCCCTTTGTCGAAACTACGCATCCAGGCTGGATAGATGAAGGAAGTGATCGCTTTCATATTTCTCCTGTTGACAGTGTTAATGCTTGCTGTCACTAAAAGCCCTATCTTTTCTACTTCTTCTGCCAACTTGTTGGTTTCCGCCTCTAAGTCTTCGAGTTTGTGACATTAGACATATGTCGTCCGTGATGTCCGAATCTTGTAGAGTCTTATTGTTTGCCAAACGTACTTCTGTTGCCTTGCCTCCATAGTCTGTCACACGATTCAGTCTACTACAATCGGAAATGAGATCGGTAGTAGTTTGCAGTCTTGTGTTAGACCTGAAGAAAGCATGAGAGCTAAGGAGCAATCGGGAAGCAAACTAAGGGGGAACTTGGTCATATAAACACGAGTGAGTTTACCCTTATTACCATCATCAGTATTATTACTATGTTCACCTCAATTCTCTTCCACTAATTCACATCCCTGAACTTTGATTCTATTAACGACATTGTTTCAAATATCTATGGTTGATATTATATCACATGATTACAAAGCCTGTTGCGAGTTTAGCAAAAATACATATTTGCTTAAATTGTGCCCTATAATTATCATAATTGGAATATTTAAATTTATGATCTGTCGTCCTTATATGCTATTTACGGAAATCTTTTCGACAGCCATTTCCACGAATTAAGAGATATGGTGGAATGTTGTTTCCTTAACACCTCCACTATGTCCCTTCAGAAGTATTTAATGAACATGCAAGGATACTGACCGAGCTATCTGCGACATACAAGCTGCTGCTCTCATCTAGGGTAAATTTATTATCATCAAGTGATTCGTTACAAATACGGTTTCCTGTTGCTTCATTTTGATGAGTTTTCTGCCATTATATATATATATATATATATGATAAAGAAGATTTGTAGCTCAGGTTGATGATTTTGATGTGGTTGTTCTCTGAGCTGAATAGTTAATTTACGCAAATCAACTATCCAGCTCAGAGAACACAACCACATCAATATATATATATATATATATATATATATATAGGCGAAGTTTAAGAATAGGGTCCCAAAACCTTTAACGCTCAAATGACCTTGAACGCATGCTAGTCGTTGGCTAACGGTTCCTGTCATTATCATAGCTGAAATATATATATATATATATCAACAGTGAAGAATATACACCAAAGTCGAATGGCCTTGAATCAACCATTACGATGGCTCGGCATTACACATGGATGTTGTTCATAATCTTCATTGCGAGTTTCACCCAGATGTTTTACTACCAATAATACAACTACCAGTCCTGCTGGGTACTAACATGCATACACTCGAGTGGAAAAGTTATTCGCAACTATCATCACTAGACTACATTTATCATTAAGTCAATAATACTTCTGAATTTGTAGGTCCTATAAGTGAAACTCACTCAAGTTCTATCGGAAGATGCTGGGTTCACCTAAGAAACTTATTATAATAGTGAATGATATATGTCTATAGACACTCCTATGAGAAACTGAGACCAGTTTCTACGGCATTTTAAAAGATGCTAATTAGAGATACACACCCTGTATGATTCAGTTTTAGTACAAATATGTCTTACAAATGCACTTTTAAATAAATGTCACATTTTACGCAGAAGACTATAATTGGTAGATCAAAAGTCTTTTAACTTTGGTGTCTATAGACACCAATATATTCTCTTCTGTACATATATATATATATATTCACTAGAACTAAAATACGAATTGGATCTTTTAATTTTGACTCACTTGGCATACAACTGCTCAGTGCCATTATTTCGATTATCAAAACAAGGTTGGTGAGCAAAATAATGTCACACGTAAGTCCCTCTCAGCTGGTAGGACCACCAGCGTACCGCAACACTTTGTTATTTTGCCTACACTCGGTTGGATTTCAATATATAATATCTGCGTCCATTCCGCTTTTGGCACTCGTTACAGGGTTTTGTAGTCTAGCGGGTGACAAATGTACCTAAATTCCTCGGTGACTCTAAAGAATAGCAGCTCAAACCGAAACGACCTTTTAACGCAATAATGACCTTGACAGGGACAACTTCGGTCAATGAGAAGGCTCAAAAGGAAAGGCGCACAATTGTAAAAAAAACCAACGACAAACCTTCTCGAACGGTTTTCCGCCTTCGGCACTCAATACATCTGTATACAAAGCCACCAATGGCCTCTGTGTATTTTTGTATATGCATAACTCCTCCGCATTGGCAAATTTTCGACAAAGCTATCAGTCCGTTATCCAAACAGTAATCGAAAACATCCATGATTACTTCCGAAAATGATACAGTCAGCAGATTCCTCGCTCAGGGTCACTTTTTTGTTGGAAGGTCGTTTCGGTTTGGGCCGCTATTCCTTAGAGTCCTCTACTCAGGCATCTTTACTATGATGCATAAACATCAGCTTACACTCAGGATGTGGAATTTTCATGTGATTTCAATGATCTCGGAGATAGTGTGTCAGCATGTGTCATCCTCCATGATGATGCCAGCATTCAGTTTCATACTGCTGAGGGAACTCCTGATCTAATGGAACCTTCGGTTTTTACAAACACTGAAGGGCTTTATTAACTGTTCTGAGCACTGAAATTTAACGTGGAGAGTGAGTTGCCCAAGAATAAGTGATGAAGAAACCGAGATTTCTTCCGCGGAAATGCACTAGTTATCCTCTATTCAACTGAATGTTTAACTGCAGTATTCCATACCTTGCTCTCTACTATCAGCTCCATCACCAGATGAGATAATTTTCAAACGTCTAGTAGCCACATCACTACCTAGGATGTACTTACTAGGCGTGGAGGTTGCGCTTGAGAAGCCAAAAGAAACGTGGAGTACCAGTAGGCTGTCGGTAGTCGAAATGGTCCAACGTCTACATACAAGGAAAATCCTTGACAGGAGAGCCAACTAGCTAAAAATTCGGAACGATTTTTCCAGAGGAATAGATACATTAGAGGTTGACGCTATAGACGCTCGTGAGCAGTACTGGCTATATTAACGCAAGCTCAACAACTTCTAGCTTATTTAATTCTCGCGTACCAAAGGCAAAGCAAAAGACAGTATTTGATCGTCCAAATTACGCAATATATTCCGGGACCAAAGCGAGTTCTTAGACGAACGGTTAACCGCCTAGTGATCGTGCACGAACGTGACACGACGGAGTACCAAATGTTGTGGATGCTCGAACGAAAGCCTTCAGCTAAACAAGTCGACTTAAACTCTAAGGGTCAGCATCCAATGTTCACTGATGATTCCTATGGTCAATAATTTTGGGGAATTATTTACCGCTACAGCTCACTCCCCCCTAGTGTGGTCGGGAGGATCCTAATACAGAACCAGCCGGAAGTAAAAAAACTCGATGGTTTTCTTTCGGGTGAAAAAATCTTCCGAGCGGCTTGGTGGCGTGCTTACTGGTCTGTCTGCCTATGCTAATAGGGTGTTTGTACATAGCTTCCTTGATGTTGTTCTTTGGATACCGTGCTTCGTTCTTTTCTTGTCCAGTGCATGTCGCACCTGGAAAAGAAAACAGGAACGCTAAGAACCATGTCGAGGAAAATGTACTAAGTCAGCGTTTTTTCAAAATGATGTGCATTTACCATACAGTAATATAATGCAAAGTTCAGAACACCGAAAAGAATACATCTAATTTTTTTCGGTGCATGTAACATGTACTGTTAAGGATAAATTTCTGTTGTGTTTAGTGATACTGTATATAAAAAAATGATGCGTCTGAAATGAAAAATATAATTAGTAACACAAACGAATAAGTTGGGGGAATCAAACGACTTCGTTATGTTATATAGGTGTGAAGATATCCTAGGAACCTTACGGTACATCCAGAACGGGTTTTCTTAGGGGGCTCGACAGAAGATTCGGTAGCTGTCGCCGCGCTAGTGACTTCATCGAGGACTAAACGATCTTCGGTTACTTGTGGATTATAGGGTACGCTGAGCTCTGTGCTAGTAGGATTACCTTCCAAGTAAGCCGGTTTCAGACGGTCAATGCTGACGGTGTCCTCGCTGCCTTTTTTGTCTAAGACAAAGAATTTATCCGAACGTTTAATTACTTTATATGGTCCGTCGTATGGTGGTTCAAGAGGTCGACGCACATAGTCACGACGAACAAATACATGTGAAGAAGTTTTAAACACGGATGAACAAAAACATCAATGGAATGTGGATGAAGAGGAGCAGGTTTAACTGAACGCATAGCGTTTGTAAGCCTGTTGACGTATGAAGCGTGATCTACCACTGGTGGGAAGCTCGAGGGAGAAACAAATTCACCAGGCAGTTGTAGTGTCGTCCCATATGCTAGCTCGGCGGTGGTACAACCGGGATCATTTTTCAAGGCGTTTCGTATCCCTAGGAGAACTAACGGAAGGGATTCGGTCCAATGGGTGTTGTTTGCAACTCACAGGCCAGCTTTTAACTGTCTGTGTAGACGTTCTACCATACCATTAGCTTGAGGATGGTAGGCTGTTGTTCGAAAACGCATGCAACCTATGATTTTAGTTAGGGCGAAGAATAAGCCGCTTTCGAATTGCCGCCTGCGATCAGTTGTTATGGAAGATGGGCATCCAAAGTTAGCGATCCATCTTTCTACAAAGACGCGTGCGACCGTTTCAGCAGATACGTCCTTGATGGGTAATGCTTCCAGCCATCGTGTGAATCGATCGATGCAAGTTATAAAATATAGGCATATCCAAGGGATTCAGGAAGGGGTCCAACTAAATCTATATGAACGTGTTCAAAACGAGCGTCAGGGAGAAGAAAGGTGCCAAGTGGAATCTTGGTGTGTCTTATTACCTCGCATTTTTGACAAGCTAAGCACGTAAGTGCCCATTCCCTTACTTCCTTATTAATGTCAGGCCAACAAAACCGACTAGTTACGAGCTTGACAGTAGTTCGAATACCTGAGTGAGATAAGCCATGCAACGTATTGAAGACGTTACGGCGATAACTTTTAGGCACGATGGGCGAGGAGCACTCGTGGAAATGTCGCGTAGAATAGTATCTCTTCCCATACCTAAGGGTTTCTCAGCCAATTGTAGAGTTGTTATCGACAACTCATGTTGAAGCTCGGTATCTTCTTTTAGAAGACGAGCCAGTTTTACAAGGTCTATGCCGTCGATTTGGATGAGGGAACAAACTCGCGACAAGGCATCTGCCACAGTGTTGTTTACTCCGGATACATGGCGAATATCCGATGTAAACTGTGAAACGTAGTCCAGTTGTCGTGATTCCCCGGGTGAATACTTATCTGAAGGTGAGTTCAGTGAGTACGTCAGGGTCTCGTGATCAGTGAAAATTATGAATTCACGACCCTGTACTGAATGTCGAAAATCATGTATAGCACAGTACATAGCCAGAAGTTCTCTGCCGAATGTGCTGTACATCGTTTCAGCTAATCGAAGGCGCCTTGAGTAAAAGGCGAGTGGTTGCCACTCATTGTAAACTAGCTGCTGTAGAACTGCGCTGATTGCAGTGTTTGATGCATCAACCGAGATACTCAACGGTGCCGTTGGATCCTGATACATCAGAAGTGTGGCATTCGCAATAGCTTTTTTAACCTAGGTAAAAGCATTTCGAGTAGACGCGTCAAGTTCTATGAACTTGTTATTCCCTCGAAGAATGTCTGTCAGTGGCTGGATCGGAGAGGCACAGCTGGGAATAAAGCGTCGATAATAACTTACCAAGCCGGAGACTTTTCACCGTCCGTGGCTCTGGAAAGTTCAGTATAGCCTCGACCTTAGTAGCCAGTGGGCGAATGCCCTTGCAGTCAATAGTGTGACCCAGAAAGTCGAGTGAGTCAACACCGATTTGACACTTTTGAATATTGATGGTAACACCATGTTGGCGCAACCTTTCAAATACCAAGCCCAAATGTCTAAGGTGAGTTTCCTTGTCTGGACTGGCAATGAGGCAGTCGTCTAAGTATGCATATACAAAGTCGAGACCTCGAAATACTTCGTCGATGAGGCATTGGAATGTTTGTGCTGCATTCCGCAGACCGAATGGCATACGTAGAAATTCAAAAAGTCCGAAAGGCGTAATGATAGCCGTTTTCGGAATATCTTCTGTTGCCATCGGGATTTTGTTGTATGCTTCAACCAAGTCGATTTTAGAGAATATAGTCACGCCAGATAATGTTGCCGTCAATTCGTGTATATGAGGCAACGGGTAGCAATCAGGGGTTGTTTTGGCATTCATTCTTCTGTAGTCACCGGTGGGTCGCCAATCATTGCTATCCTTTTTCGGTACCATATGAAATGGGGATACCCATAAGCTATTCGGAGGTGGAATGATGCCAAGGGTGAGCATATGGTCAAACTCATCCCTAGCGATTCCCAGTTTGTCAGGAGCCAGTCGTCGAGCTCTAGATATCACGCGTTGTCCTGTGGTAATGATGTGGTGCATAACATTGCTGGTTATGCATGGTAGGTCGTTAGATGGGCAATTTAGTTCCGGATATTTGTCAACAACAGGTTGAAAAGTCGGATCAAGGATTTCCCTTATCTTAACGAGTGACAAGCTGGGGCCTATGTAGGTGGTGCCTTTAGTAGACAGGCTAGTGGTATTGTCAATCAGTCGTTTTCAGCGGGTGTCTACAAGTAAATCATGATGATTAAGTAGGTCCGTGCCAATGATGGGCGCTGTAACGTCAGCGAGAAGGAAAATCCACCGAATAGGTTTGCGTAAACCTACGTTCAGATAGACGTATTTCATACCAAAGGTTGCGATTGGTTTTCCATTTGCAGCCTGTAAGTTGAAGG